ATGACGGTTTTAATCTGGAGGATGGAAGCGGCGGTGAGGATCTGGAGAGCTTCCGATTGGGCCACCACCAAGCAACCACTGTACATGAACTCCACCAACTGCCGCACGGCTCCGCTGGGGACAACGGGTGGCACCTCGATGGCCGAGTGACCCAATAACAATTTGTCGTGGAAGAAGGGGCTGCCGGCGGCCAGGACGCAACGGTGGGCTCGTAAGGTGGCCTCGCGGATGCGAACCGTCACGTCGCAGAAGTGCCCGCCCAAGCGTTGCCCGTTGAGGGTCTCCAGCAGGGAACGGCTGAAGTTCTGGAGGTGGATGTAGTGAACAGCCTCTGCCATGGTGGTGGGGCGAGCGTTGACCGTTGAGGGTCTCCAGCAGGGAACGGCTGAAGTTCTGGAGGTGGATGTAGTGAACAGCCTCTGCCATGGTGGTGGGGCGGGGCGCCGGCGGGGACCGGGGTCGTCGGTGAGCTCTGGAGATACCTGAAGGAAGAGTTTGGGGACGTGATATGGGGTGTCACCAGGGCTGGGGACATCAGGGTGGGGTGGAGAAGACACCAGGACATCACCAGGGGCTGGGGACACCACTAAGGACGTCACCAGGGGGGTTAAGGACACAGCTGGGGACATCAGGATGGGGTGGAGATGCCACCAGGATCTTGGGACACCACAGAGGACATCACCAGGGGGGTTAAGGACACAGCTGGGGACATCAGAGTGGGGTGGAGAAGACACCGGGACATCACCAGGGGCTGGGGACCCTGCTGAGAACATCACTGGTGGTTTAAGGACACAGCTGGGGACATCAGGATGGGGTGGAGATGCCACCAGGGTGTCACCAGGGCTGGGGACATCAGCATGGGTTGGAGAAGACACCAGGGCATCACTGGGGACTGGGGACACCCCTGAAGACATCACAAGGCAGGGTTAAGGACACAGCTGGGGACATCAGGACAGGGTGGAGGTGCGACCAGGGTGTCACCAGGGCTGGGGACATCAACATGGTGTGGAGATGCCACCAGGGTCTTGGGACACCGCTGAGGACATCATGGAGGGGGTTAAGGACACAGCTGGGGACATCAGGACATGGTGGAGATGCCACCAGGGTGTCACCAGGGTCTTGGGACACTGCTGAGGACATCACCAAGGGGGTTAAGGACACAGCTGGGGACATCAGCTTGGGTGGAGATGCCACCAGGGTCTTGGGACACCACAGAGGACATCACCAGGGGGGTTGAGGACACATCTGGGGACATCAGGACATGGTGGAGATGCCACCAGGGTGTCACCAGGGGCTGGGGACATCAACGTGGTGTGGAGATGTCACCAGGGTCTTGGGACACCGCTGAGGACATCATGGGGGGGGTTAAAGACACAGCTGGGGACATTGGGATGGGGTGGAGATGCCATCAGGACGTCACCAGGGGCTGAGGGGACCCTGTGTGATGTCACCAGGGCTGGGGACATCGGGATGGGGTGGAGATGCCACCAGGCTGTCACCGGGGGCAGGGGACACCCTGTGTGATGTCACCAGGGCGGGGGACGTGGTTGGGGACATTGACAAGGGCTGGGGACACCATAGGGGACGTCACCAAGGGCTGGGGACACCTTGTGGGACGTCACCGGGTGCTGGGGACAGCGCCGATGACATCACGGGGGCTTGGGGGACACCTCCCAGGGCGTCACCAGGGGCCGGGGACACCTCGCGGGACGTCACCGAGGGGGTGGCGACACCCCGGG